AGAACTTTCTATCCTTACAGTCCTTTTAGCAATTTGCCCTTCCTTCACTTATTTTTTGTCTGTATTTGGTGCCATGACAAATGCGGTATCTTGGCGTGTCTAGTGTTTTTTTTTTTTTTTTTTTTAAATCATCCCCTTATTCTCTTTACTGCTTTCCTATCCAGTGTAGAGTCCATGGTCTATAACTCATTTCTTTTAAAACAACTTTCTTGAGGTATAATTGACATACCATAAAATTTACCCATTTTAAGTGTACTATTCAATAATTTTTAGTAAAGTCACTAAATTGTACAATCTTCACCATAAACCAGTTTTAGAACAATTTTATTCTGCCAATAAGGTTTTTTGCCTTATTAAATAACTGCTATTCCCACCATCCAGCTCCAGGCAAGTACTAACTAATCTGCTTTCTGTCTCTATAAGATTGCATTGCCTGTAACTTCTAATCACTCTCTTGCCCAAACCGCACTTCCTCAACCTAACTCATTCCAACACACCAACTTGGAATGACCGGTGCTCTGGATCAACGTAATTCTGAACCTACACCTGGGCTGTTGTATGCAGAATCATCTAATGGTGAGGACTGGTGCTGCTACGGATGCAGGGTCTTAACTAGCTGGGCCCTCAATGCTACTTGAAATTGGTCGAATTTCCCTTGTTGTCCTTCTCTCATTTTTTCACAGACCCCTTTTCAAATATTCTGCCCTCTCCTCCAATCTCCAACCCTGCCACCTCCCCTTTCCCATAAACTCAATTGAGGATCTTGCTTCCTCCTCAGAGAAAATAGAAGTCATCAGAGAAAAGCCTTCTCAATTTCAACCATCCTTCTACCAGCATAACAACAGCCGCACCCATCTCTCTCCCTCTTTCTGATGAGAGGGATGTTCTGCTAAGGACGGCCCTTCCATCTGTGCTCTGGACCCATCTCCTGCCACAGTAGATGTGACCAGCATTCTTCTCGGTACTGTCCACCTAGACATTAGAAAAAGACCTGGCAAATGCAGGCCTCGTGGGATTTTGGATGTTGGTATGAAGACTTCTATTACTATACACACATGGCTTTTGTGCTCAGCCCTGCTAGTTTGGCCACACTGAGATTGTGCCTGTCCAGGGCCTCCCCCCTGGCGCCTTCCCTACCGCATGGCATAGGTCATCCGGTCCGGCCGCATGGCCCTCATCATGCAGAGGCGCTGCAGGGCCGTCTTGCTCTTCCACTCCTGCGGGAACTTCTCCTTCTCAGGACATTCTGATTCCACGAACTTCTTCCAGCTCTTGGCAGATCCCTCAATGTCCCGGTCCAGATTAGAGAATTCCTCCATGGCGGAAAGAGCCTAGGGAAGTTCAGAGAATCGTGCTCTGAAATGCAGGTTCTCACAGTGGAGACTTGCATTGAGTTGTGGGTTAAGCAGCGAGATGGTATTACAGATATAATTCTGTCTCATTTATACTCTCTCCTGGAGCCTGGAATCTTCTTCCAGGTAAACTCAAGAAAGAGGAAGGATTTTGATCAGCTCGCCTTTAGCAAACTGCCCCAATAATGTGCAAGGTTTAGCAGAGAGAGTGTTTGGGATATTATCAGAGCAGAGACTGAGCAGCACCTGCCTGCAGGGTATTGCATAGAAAAGGGACAAGAGGGATGCCATATTTTTCTGGTCAAGGAGCCTGGACACGTTAAGTATCTGACTCCTCCCTTTCATTCCCATATTCACTCTGCCAGCAACTCCTTGCTAAGGATGACTTTGTATACTAATGCCAACTCTAAAACTTCCATGAATTGCCAGCTTCCATAAGGATTGTGTCCAGATGCATAACTTGTTAATCAGATCTCTTCATTTGGCACTTCCCTCCAATCGATCCAGTTCACCAGGGAGCCAACTGCCCTCCCACTCTGTCCGAGCACGACTGTCCCCAACTTTGGAAATGTGCCAGCCTCATTCCCAACTGAATTCCTTGGTCACAAAGCCACGTCAGGTCCTGTTCTCTCCACCAAATTCTACTCCTTTCTTGTGCTGGTTCTACAAATTGTCAAAGTCCAGTTGCAAGTCAGCAACCTTCCTCATACACGTTCTCTCTAACCTAGAACACATAGCCCTCCCACCTTTTATTTTTTTGTGGAGCACAGAGTTGATATCTTTGTTTTAAAAAAATATTTTATTTTTAAATTTAAGAAAATCTTTATTGTTGGAAGTATTACATATGTCTCATTTCCCTCCCCCCACCCATTGACCTCTTCTAGCCCGCCCCCACTCCCCACCCCAGGCCCCCTATTGTCTGTGTCCATGGGTTATGCATATGTTCATACAAGTTCTTCGGTTGATCTCTTCCCTCCCACCCACCCACCCACCCACCCACCCACCTCCACCTTCCGTCTGAGATTCAACCGTCTGTTCCATGCTTCTATGTCTCTGGATCTATTTTGTTCATCAGTTTATTTTGTTCATTAGATTCCACATATGTGTGAGATCATGTGATACTTGTCCTTTGCACAGAGTTGTTATGTTTAGTAAAGAGATTGACTCAATTTTTAGATATCTGACTGCTGATAGCATTAAGCCTCATGCCGCTCTCTCCTCTGCTGTTCCACATCTGGGCAAGCGGATAAGTAAGCCTCGGCACTCCCTCTCTGGTGTGGAGGGAAGTTGTATCACGCGAGCCCTGCCCATGCTCAGGAACTCTCACCCTGGCTTCACCCCATAACTTCCTTCCATAAGACCCCACGGTAGTCTCCTTTCCTGGCTCTCTCAAACCATTCACAGACTGCTCCCTGCTCTCCCCAGAAGGTCTTATGCGAATAATAAGCTTTTCCATACCTTCTTAGGTATGGGTGTGGCATCATCTGTCAACATTGGAACCAACTTTTGGGGGGTGTTGACCCTGTTTCCTCAGAGTGCCCACACACTCATCCCTTACTTAGACACAGAGTTGCCTGCAGCCTTTCCACTGTTACTCAGCTCTGCGTGTGTGTTTGGTCTCTCCAGTGATATTAGAAACTAGACTTTGTCCAAAGCACCTACCACAGTGCCACGAGTTTTAAGGAACCTACACATTCTTGTCATTTGAATTCATTCATTCATTCATTCGATATTTACTGAATGCCTACTACATGCCAGGCACTTGGGAATACAAAGCTGAACATAAAAATACACTTGCCTTCCAAAAAAGCTTACAATCCTAAGCTCAAGAGAACGAGGAGATGAAGGAGGCCTTAGGAAGTTTGTAAGATTCTGTTGGGCAGAAATAGAGGTCGGGAGAAGAAAAGGGTATTTTATGGGGAAGGATCAACAGGAGCCAGCATGTGGAGGGGAGGAGTGTGGGGCACGACAGGGAGGAATGTCACTGCAGTAGGAGAGTCTTACAGTGACCAGGGGAAAGCCACGCTGGAGGAGGACATGGGACTGGACCCGGGCTTGTCCAGGCTCTTCTCCCAAGTGGCTGAGCACCTGTCCTGTCTTTCTGTGCCTCCCACACGGGCTCTGTGGCTTCTCAACTTCACCCTGGCCGCTCAGAGCAGGGAGCACTCCTTCACTCATGTGGGGAGTGGAGTGGAGCTGCGCACAGATGGTGGAGGAGGGGCCGGGAAGTGCGAGTTCTGGTCCCAGGGACAGCTCTCCTGAGCCTCTTCTGACCTTTGTGGGCTTAGATTTTCTCATTTGGAAAATGAGGCCAAGTAATTGTTCGCATAGCTCACACGCTAATGTAGATACAAGTGCTGTGAAAACTCTACAGCTTTTCCCGTGCTTTCTTGGGGCTTCTGTAGTTATTGAATTGTGATTTCGGGTTTATTTGCTGTTCCTCCCGCAAGACTGTGAGTTCCCTGTGGGCAAGAACTTTCTTAGTCATCTGTGTATGCCTCCGGCCTAGCAGCTGTCTGGAACTTAGGAAGTGCTCAATTAATCAAGTTTGACATCTGGGCGGCCAGCAGGAAGGCTCTTAACAGGCCGAGGAAAGCTGCGGCCGCTGTAATTATTTCTCTGTGTGCCGGGAAGTCCTGTTCATCTCCTTCTGGCAGCACTCCAGCGCCTCTGCCCAGCTTGCATCATCATTAACCCTCTGCAGCCCCGTTACCCGCTCTGGCGGTCACTACAATACTGAGCAAATTACACTGCCATGGGGCTCCCAGCTGCCAGGACTGGGGCTGAAACACGCTTCCTTGAAGCTCTGGATTGAACACAATTGCAACATTCAATCTCCCAAATGAGGGAAAGGCATTTCTAATAAGTTAAATGGAAATGACTAATTAACCTAATTACCTTGGACTGTGTAGCAAAATACAACGGTGCTAAAACTGGCATCCAGAGCGGTGGTGAGGGGCCTTTCAGAGGCTAACACAGGCGTGCATCACAGATGAGCTTTTTCTAATGAAGAGCAGAACAGTCCCAGTACCTTCAAGTTCCGCATTTGATTAAACTTCAAATATTCTAACAAAGGGTCCTAATAGAAGCAATATGTTATCACAAAGATTTCATTCATTACCTGCCTATTAGCGCTGCTGCGGAAACAAGGCAATCCATCTTCCTCGTCAGACGGCATGTTTAAAGAATTTTGTTTCATCGTGTCCTATTCAATTATTTTGTAGTCTGTTTCTTTAGGCTAAAATCCAACTGAACACTTAAAAAGAGCATTTATCAAAGGCCTCAGTGATGGGCACTGCACACCGCGTTGTATTTTCACCGGCTCACATCCCCGCACTGCGCTCGAGTTGGGGGCTGACTCGCTGCTCCACTAACAGAACTCAGAGACGGGGAGAGATAAAGCCTCACTCATCTGCAAAGCTTTTGAGCAGCCAGATGAGCTTAGCCCACAAAACAAAACAAAAAATGCAGAGCGAAGACAAGCAAACCAAACAATCCATTTTGTGAGAAGAGGAACAAACTAAATTGCACAGTAGCTTTAGAGTTGTCAATAATGCTTTTGAGCCATTTATTCTCTGTAACTTCTGCTGCCTGAGGGCTTTGTGGGTAATAGAGTGAAAGGCAACTGGATTTGGCCCAATTTGGCACCGCACAACTGCTCGAAGTTTTTCCTTCCATGGACAAGTGCTATAAGGTACAACCCACACCAACCACAGCATGTCCACACCTTAGAGATGGGTAATTAACAATCATAACTGTGATGGGGTGAGTCGTGTCCACCAAAAAGACAGGTTGAAAAACGAACCTCCCAGGTGTGTAAACCTGAGCTTATTTTAAAATAGGGTCTTTGCAGGTGTAATCCGGTTGGGATGAGTCAGCAGGATGGGCCATAGTCTAATATGACATGCTTTTTAAAAAAATATATTTTATTGATTTTTACAGAGAGGAAGGGAGAGGGATAGAGAGTTAGAAACATCGATGAGAGAGAAACATTGATCAGCTGCCTCCTGAACACTCTCCACTGGGGATGTGCCCGCAACCAAGGTACATGCCCTTGACCGGAATGGAACCTGGGACCTTTGAGTCCACAGGCCGACGCTCTATCTGCTGAGCCAAACCGGTTAGGGCTGACATGCTTTTTTAAGAGAAAAGATGGAGATACACAGAGGGAGGATGGCCATGCAGAGACAGCAAGGACGGGGGCAGAGACTGAAGTGATCTTGCAACAAACCAAGAAACGCTGGGGCAATCAGAAGCTGGAAGAGGGAGGAAGGATCCTCCCCTTGCGGCCTTTAGGAGGAACCATGGCTTGCTGAAACTTGACTCAGATTTCTAGCCTCCAGAACTGTGAGTTAATAAATTCCTGCCGTTTTAAGCCACCTAGCCTGTGGTACTTTGTTATGGCAATTCTCAGAAACAAATATGATAACCATAACTATAACCATAACCATAACTATAACCATAACCATAACTATAACCAGAACCAGAACTATAACCAGAACCAGAACTATAACAATAACCAGAACCAGGACCAGCTTCTATTTACTGAATATCTGTATGTCTGACATAACCCTGTGAGGTAGGTATTATAATGGCCGTTTTGAAGATAAGGAAAGAAAGTCTCAGAGGAATAAGGAACACGTAGAGGCCGCACACACTCAAACTTGAATCCGGAATGTCTGACTCCGGCCTTTGTTCGCTAGTTCATCCCCATCACTGCTCCCGTTCTGCAGATACTCTCATTCAGAACTGCTTTCCATAATGTATTTTCCATAGGGCATCAGGCTATGCCATTATTCTCAAGCTCTGGGGCAGCACTGTCCAACAAGGTAGCCACTGGCAAAATGTGAGTGCAGAGCAAATAAAATGTGGCCAGTGTGACTGAAGAAACGAAATCTTTGATTTTAACATCAAATACTATTATTTTAACATGAAATATAGAAATTGGAACCTGCTTTAGTAATTGGAAAACTTTTAAGAATGTTTGAAAAAACTTGGGTATATGGATCAACTGTTTTATCTCTAAAATTTTCTGAAATATAAATTCAAATAAAATATTTCTGATGAAAATTTAGCATCTAATTGAGAAATGCTATAAGGGCAAAAAATACAAACTAGAATTCAGATTCAGTACAAAATTTTTAAATAGTTCATTAATAATATTTATAGTAATTACATATTAAAATGATATTTTGCCTTATTGGTTTAAAGAAAATATATTATTAAAATTAATTTCATATCATATTTTTTATTTTACTTTTTTAAAATCCTCACCTGAGGATATGTTTTTCATTGATCCTAGGAAGAGCAGAAGGGAGAGAGAAAGAGAGAGAGAATGTGTGTGAGAAAGAGAGAGAGAGAGAGAAAGAAACATTGATGAGAGAGAAACATTGATCAGTTGCTTCCTGTACATGCTCAGATCAAACCTGCAACCCGGGTATGTGCCCTGACTGGGAATAGAACCCGTGACCCTTCTGTGCATGGGACACTCTAACCAACTGAGCCACACTGGCCAGAGAAATACGTTATTACATTTTTACTCTATGGCTACTAGACAATTTTAAATTACATATGTGACATACATTATATTTCTTTTGGACAGTGGTACTCTAGAGTGTCTATGCATTCATATCTTAGGTAGCCTAGAAGAGTTGATGGTTTCCACACATGTGGTCTGCATTTATTGTAATTATTCTAAGGCATTTTGTAACTTCGTGATTTTATTGCTGTTGTGAATGGAGTGTCCCCTTGGTTCTTGCCCAATACATTATTCCCCATCTCATTTGCCAGATTGGGTCCAGAATGACAAATAAAGTTAGTAGATAAAAACCAAATCACACCTTTATTATTTAGATCAGAGATCAGCAAAATGCAGCTTGCAGGGCCAATCTGGCTCACCACCTGTATTTATAAATAAAGTTTTATTCAAACTCAGCTATCTGTACCCTGGTTCATACCACAAAAGGCTGCAGGTTCGATCTCTACTCTGGCGCATTTGGGGGCAACCAATCGATGTTTCTCTCTTCCCTTTTCTCTCTCTCAAATCAATAAAGCACTTCCTCAGGTGAGGATTGAAACAAAAAAAAAGAAACTCAGCCATTTTCTCTTGCTTATGTCCTGTGTGTGACTTTGGCAGAGTTGAATAGTTGTGACAGAGTCTGACCCTCAAAGTAGAAATATTTACTATGTAGCCCCGACCAGAAAATGTTTGATGACCTTTGATTTAGATACAGCCCTAAACAAAATAATTTAAGAAATAGCAACAGATTCTGAAAAAGGAGTTAGAGAAATATTTTGGGCAACGGCGGCATGGGTGGAATTAGCCTTGGATTTCCGAAGATGAATCGTTTGAAGTGGACAGCAGGCATATAAATGACTAAATGTGGGGCTTAGTTATAAAGTAAATCAGACTGGGATGGATCTCAAGGGAGCGATGCTGAGGGAACAAGCTAGTCTGAAAAGATTACATACTGTATATTTCCATTTCTATAACATTCTTGAGATGACAGCCTTATACAAATGGAGAACAGATTAGTGGTTGCCATGCATTAGGAGCTGGGGGAGGGAGGAGGTTGTTGTGATTATGAAGGGGCGACATGAGGGATCCCTGCAGTGATGACATTTCCTCTGTCTTGGCTGTGGTGGTTACATGAATCTTCACAGGCACACACATGCTCACACACAATGAGTGCATGACAAACTGGTGAACCTAACACTGGTGGGCTGTATCAATGTCGACTTCCTGGGTGTGATACTGTGCTACAGGAATGCAAGATGTCACCATAGGGGGAACTGGGTATAAGGAATATCTCTACATTTCTTATAACTGCATGTGAATCTACATTAGCTCAAATATTTAGTAAAATATACACAGAGAAAGAGAGCTAATCATATTATTTCAGACTTTGTGCTATCTATACTAATAAAAAGGTAATATGCTAATTAGACCGGGTCAACCGGACATCTTCTGGACGTCCGACTTCCTTCAGGACAGTTAGGGGGTGACCAGGCCAGCATAGGGGTAGTTAGGGGGCAACCAGGCCAGGAGGGGGGCAGTTAGGAGGCAGCCAGGCCAGCAAAGGGGCAGTTAAGGGGTGACCAGTTAGGGGGCAATCAGGAAGGCAAGTAGAGGCAGTTAGGGGCAATCAGGCAGGCAGGTAGGCAAGCGGTTAGGAGTCAGTGGTCCCAGATTGCGAGAGGGATGTCCAATTGCTGATTTAGGCCCCACCCCACAGTCGGACATCCCCTGAGGGGTCCCAGATTGGAGAGGGTGCAGGCCGGGCTAAGGGACCCCCCCCCCCCCGCCCCACACGAATTTCATGCACTGGGCCTCTAGTGAAATGTATAAAATGCAACAAACGTGGAAGAGGGTATACGGGGTGTGTTTTGTGCAGATTCCAGTCCTCACACAGCACCAGTGCCCACTGTGGGCACTCACTCAGGTGGCACTGGGCAGTTTGTGCTCTTCTCAATGTTCATAGAATCCCAACCGAGTCAAGCTGAATAACATGGAAAGAAACTGGGCTTTGCCATCAGACAGGCTGGAATCCGAGTCCTAGAATTACTACTTATAAAATGTGGGACCTCACTTTCCTCGGATGCTAAAAGGGAAAAAATAATCCCTATGGCCCAGGTGACCATGAGACTAAGGTAAGGTGATGCATTTCTAAGGTGCTCAGTAATTGTGAGTTACTCTTAGTCCCTGGTGACCCCATGCTGGCTGCATCCCCTGCCTTGAGGCGGAGTTGGTTAGGGTTAGGGTTAGGTTAGGGCAGAGATGCCTGAACAGAGCCTGGCATCTGTCCGCTTCATGGAGGTGCTGTCCCAGCCTCTCAGCACCCCGACACAGGCCCTAGGGCCTCACAGAGGAGCCCACCCCCAGCCGGACGCGCTGACAGGGGAAGGGAGCTCAGCTGAGTCAGAGAAGCTCCCAGGATCTTCCTGTTCCCTCACATGGGAAGGCTGAGCCCTCGCAGCAGCAGGCACTGGCTCAGCTCGCTCTCTGCAAAGCCATCCAGCAGCCAGGAAGGGGGAGCTCTGCCATGGGGGGCTATGTTCAAACAGCTCCCCGATGAACCCCAAAAGAGAGCCCTGGGGACAAGGGTCCGAGACAAACTCCGGGAGATGGAACGTGCCTTTTTCCGGGGCTGGTACTGACCTTGATGCCTCCCCAGGCCTGATGGGAGAGGAACTCCACGGGGCTGGTGACTCCGGCCTGCACGGGGGATCGCAGCAGGAAGTCCAGCTCCGCCGCCCCGACCGCCTGGTTCAGGAGGAGGATCTGCATGAGGAAGATGACACCGTGTGTCTTAGCTGGTGATGGGCACAGGGTCCGGAGGGCCTCAGGGTCGCCCCTCCGTGTAACTGCTGCTACTTCTAGCACTAGCGCTTGCCCATCAGTTTTGATTGTTAGAAGCAGGTGGCGTGGAAGAAGGTGTATGTCTGTGCAAATCACTCCTGTGTACCTCTGCTCTCTCCCTAAAATCAGCAGGACTTAAATGCACCCGGCGAATGACTATAAACTTGGAAAGCAAGAGTTTTATGTATCAGTCATACGTGCCGTGGGATGCATTCCTGCCATCTATTGAGAAGAGGATATACCCAAATGATGTGATTTGAGGAGTGTGTCAAAGTAACATATGAGTGTATGCAAAATAGAAATGCATATACGAATCAACAATGCTACAGGGTTTCCCGAGGAGGGGCGTGGCCAGGGAGTGGGGCTGGGGGGATTGATGTGACGAAACTTTCTGTAAGTGTTTTGAACTGGGTCTTGGAGAAGCTGAGAGATAGTGATACTCAGACAGGGAGGGAAGGCTTTCAGGGAGGAGGCACTGAGGGTGCAGAGCTTGGAGGGAATTGGGGAGGTGTGCAGGGCGTTCCCCTCGTCTGAGCTGAGAGTCATGCTGAGAGCTGCTTGGGAAGTTGTTCTCCCCTCTTCAAGGAGTGTTCTCTGCTGAGGAGTTACAGATGGAAATGTTCACTAAGAAAAAAAAATTCAGTCAATTTGAGAAGAAGTCTCTAAGGCGATAGGCTAGCAATAATAGATGAGGCAGACAGGCCCTTGCAAAGTGAGGCTGAAATATTGACGAGGAGAGAAGAGTGGAAGGTGGGGAATAATTGGTGGGAGGGAAGTCAGTCTATGCTGGGCTCTGAGTTGCTGTTGTGATGGCCAGGCTGTCCTCGCTGTAGAGTGGGGAGCGCCAAGGGTGAGGGACAAGCCACACGAGCTCCCCCATGAGTTCAGTCCTTGAAACGCACAGTCAGCACAGAAGTGACCCTCGAAGATCTGGTTTTTAGAACTGGAAGAGGCCTCAAGATCATCGGATTGGAACTCTTAATTCATATGCGGAAAAAATTCCCAATGCTAACTAAGTACAAGGAAATACGTTTTCATGTTTGTTTGTTTGTTTTCATGTTGAGAAGTAATAAAGACAAAGGTTTCTTATTAACACCGGTGGTCCCTCGTGCTCCCAGACCCTGGAAAACCATGGTCCTAAAGGACACTTTTAAGGTCAAGGCTGCTATAACTATAGAAAGACATTTGCAATTTCTTATTCCAGGGGAATGGTGGGACATTAAACTTAAACCCTACAAGTAAATAATTACTGAGGAATACTTTAGACCAGCGGTTCTCAACCTGTGGGTCGCGACCCCTTTGGGGGTCGAACGACCCTTTCACAGGGGTTGCCTAAGACCATCGGAAAACACATATATAATTACATATTGTTTTTGTGATTACTCACTATGCTTTAATTATGTTCAATTTGTAACAATGAAATTGGGGGTCACCACAACATGAGGAACTGTATTAAAGGGTCGCGGCATTAGGAAGGTTGAGAACCACTGCTCTAGACAGTTCTTGGTGCATCTCAAGAAGTGTCTAGTCATTGCTGTGGCACCCGCTTCCTCTCTGGCACCGGTGTGGGTTGATGCGGAGTGGCTGCTGAGGGCTCTGGGGAGCAGGACCTCAGGTTACGCAGGACCAGTGAGGAAAAGGACAGCGACTGATGAGTGGACAATGATGCAGCAGCACGCAGGCCCCCAATGGGACCTTCGGGTCTGACCCCTCTGCTTGGAGCTCAGAGTCCTCACATGCTATGGGAAACGATGTTAAAGGAAGAAAGTTTTTTGTTTTGTCTTGTTTTTACATTTGCTGATTGGGCACTAGAAAATGACTTGTTTTCTGGAAACTTCCTCAGTTCACTCTTACCTGAAAGGTGAGCTGGGCAAGGTAAGTCAGCTTATCACACTCGAAGAGCCCGCGGGTGGTGTACTGGAACACGGAGAAGGTGATGCTGTCCATCAGGCTGGCCACGCGCTGCGGGAGACTCTCGTGGGGCGGGGCCTTCTCCACCGCCCTCTGGAAGACGCTGCTGAAGGCCTGGGGGCGGGAGGTGGTGGGGGTGGGGGTTACACAGCTGTCAGTTCCAGTCTAGTCTGACCTGTGAAGAACATCATCATTCCCGAGTCACAGAACTACTTTCCTAGCACCTCCTGCTGAGAAGGAACAGCAGCAACAAGAACATTCTGTCTTTGTTTGCTGTTTGCTTCGTTTGCTCATATGAATTATCATGTGGTCTCAAAGTGGGCAAAGCTCTGAGGCACGCAGAGAAGAGCCTACGTTTTGATCAGGGAAAAATAAATGTCCAGTGGCCAAAAGAATTAAATCCAGCAAGTTTTGTTGTGTAACTACCTGATAAAAAGTTGATACAGTCAACAATAACCAGCTGGGATTAATTATTCCACCCACTGGATTATAAAATTCTTGAAGGTGGAATCAATGTTTTGTACAACTTTGTTGTCCAAAAGAGACCCTTGTACATAACGGGCACTGAGAATGTTTTTAATTAGATGTTAAATGACTGAGTCATTTAAAAAATCAAGACATCATTGGGTCCCTCCCATTGTTGGCTGGGCAGATTTCTTTCCCTATTCTTGTTTTGTTGCTTTAAGAAGAAAAAACTCTTCGGGCTTTCTAACACCAGGCGTCTGAAACCCAGTGGAGAACAGGTAAGATTTGTGCCTCAGTATTTCCTCATCCGCCAAATGGGGGCGGGGGTGTGCGCATGCCTCTCCCTCGTCCATAGTTCCATGTGTCTCTTGTTCGAGATGTCCTTGCAGCTTTTCTCCACTCGGCTTTGATGATCCTGGTGAGGGCCTCTGAGCTCACTGTGATGCCCGCCCTCATGTGGCAGGCTCCAGGCTCCAGGCTCCAGGCTCCGGGCTTCAGCCTGCAGTGCGGGCTGGCTGGAAGCTGGCGACGCTCCCCAGCAGCAAGTGGGGGGGCTTCTCAGTTCATGGAGACCAAGGGCACCCTTTCCCCCCAGTGGTCACCATGACTTTCCCCTAAAACTCCACATGACAGTGATCAGTCAAGAGTCTCCAGTTACTACGTTTCCACAGCGTGATTCACAATTCAGGAGAAGATCTAAAGAAAATTTGAAAACCTGGGCACATGGAGCATGTTCTTGTTCTTTGCGCTGGACTGACTCCGGTCCTTGTCCTTCCCGTCCTGGAAAGCCCCCTCCTCTTCCTCTTACCTCCGGCGCTTGGACAGCTCTGGCGCGGGGCCTGACTCTGTGCTTCCTCCAGGGGCCTCTCCTGCCCACAGATCTTATTTCGGCTCTAATGCCCTTGTTGCCCCTTTAGGGCCCTTAGAGACCTTTTTCCTTTTCCTGTATACCAGATGGAGAGCACGCTGAGGCGGGGGCAGGCCTTACCAACTGTCTTATCTTTCCAGAATCCAGCCCAGCTCTTCACATCAAACAGACACTGAAAAGATCTGTTAAAGGAATGACCGAGGCCCGCCAATGCCCTAAAGAGCTGAGGCAAAGTAGGGGGGCTGCCCTGGACCCAGGGTGAACACGGACTTCAGGGCCAGGCGTGTAAGACAAACAGGTGGGGGTAGGGACGTGGCAACAGGGGGTGGGGGGGACCATGCCTGTCTAGGGAGCAGCCCCCCCAGCTTCAGCGAATTTATGCTACGTGGAATGTGAGCTCAGTACTGCCAAACCTTCCAGACTTTCAGGAGAAGCCAGAGTTAGGACTTGTATGAAATACCCTTCTTTTAATATCTTTGTCACCAGTGAAAGTATTTGAAAAGCCCTCCGAGGACCAAGGAAAACAGGTCAACAGACCTTGGGCCTCCAGTGTGTTCTACATGCTTCTGCTGGCCTGTTTCTTACCTTTCCATCTGCTGAGAAGTGCTATTCCTCTAGCTGCGGCCCGGCCCACCCCCCATGCACACAACAGAGGGAGCGGGGCCTTCCCTCATCTGCGTCTGCGTCTGGAGGAAACCTTAGTGAGGTCTCTGCCCAGGGGGGACACCCTGGCCCCTGCGAGTGCGTCCCATTAACCCTCTCCTAGCCTTTGGCTGAGTTCTAAAGAAAGGTTGCTTTATCATCAAGTTCCACCTCACCGATGTTATAAACCTCCGAGTTCCTATTAAGCCTGGCTTTTGAAGTTTTTGCAAGTCTATGAGCACATCCACACATTTTAACATATTCCTTCTCAAAACACTTTGGAAAACCAGCGTGTGAGGCTGTTGCCACACTGGCCTCGCTGTGGGCTTCCAACTGTGAGAAGGCCTCTCCTTTCTCTGCCGGGGCAGGAACTGTGAGATCCAGCCGCAGGCAGATGCCGCGAGCATGGAAATGCCGGTGGCTACTTTCCTTCAAATCACACAAGGCTTCTAAGTTATTGTTGTTCCAATATTTTTGAAGACACTTATTTCTGCTCCTTGTTAGAAAGCGTTAAGCCTGCTTTCAGTGATCGAGCTGGTTTATGAACTGTTTTTGATGATTCTGCATCACAATATGGGACCCCAAATCCCACCCTCTTATAAATAGAGCTTCCAATGATAAGCCCACACCGGGGTGCGGGTGCTGACAACAACTTACAGTGGATCCTGCACACATGTTTTCATGGGCTCCAGTGATTTCTTCCTTCCAGGCAGTTACTGAGCTCAATGGCAAGTGTACTGGGAACTGGGAGGTGATCCTGCAGTTACTCGGCTTAGCTTGCTGACATTCAGACAGCCTTTAAGTATTTTATAATCTTTCATATGTTTTGACCTGAATATAAGGCTAAGCATTGAATTTCTTTTAAAGGCATAACATACTGCAAACACAGTTCAGCTCATCTGCAGCGCCTCTGAGTGAGGGAGAGGCGTGGGAAATGGTGACATGTCATTTCCCATTAAAAGAGCCAGGTGCTAGCGGCCCGCTGATTTCTCAGCTGTACACCCATCCCCACACCGTGGTCTCCATAGCGCAACTGGGCTTCACAGAATGACCTGTGCGCTCTGAGTGTGTGTCTGTGTGTATAAACCCTTCCCCCTGTGTGTGAGTGGGCGGGGGGCATGTGTGTGCGTGTGCGTGTCCTCTATTTGTTGGGTCAAATCGAATAAAGTTGTTCAGAAATGCTCTACCACCGGCTAATGCCTCTTCAATTGTTGAATTTTGGTGAATGTCCTAGGGGAGAAATCTATAATTTCAGGGATGCATTTAAAATTTATGTGTCTTTATTTTTCATGAGTAAGATAAATTTAGTCACCGCTTATAATTTGATAACACCTTTGGTTTTAGAAATAATTCAAAACCCATAAAATAGTAGCTTTGGGATATGAAGGTAATAAGAAAAGTAATTTGAAGTTGGTCTATTATCATTGCCTGCTTTGGTTTTAATGGATGTGCATGACACACATTCTAGTTTAAGCTCTTTGGGGGCGGAGATTACTGCTAACATGTCTCGGTATCCTCTCCCACACGTTCTGCGAGCGAGTGGCTGCCATGTCATGTGCGCTTACTGAATGAGCGAGGCTGGGACTTGGTGTGGTTCTGCCTCGGTTCCAGCCGAATCACCAATGATCTGTGAAAGCCCCAGCTAAAGAGACGAGGGATGTAATACAGGTGTGCAGGCACTGTAGCTGCTCTCCTGGATTTGATCTTAGAGACCTGCCACAGCTAATGAAAGCACATGGTAAGCTGTCATGGGGAACGGCACGGGCCATATTGTGCTGCTTTGATACGATTATGTGAAAAACTCCAGGTGCGAGTCACCTTGAGAGAAAACTGGTACATGGGGTGGATCCTGCTGAGGTCGTTCATGATGAAGTAGAGCAGAGAGGCGCGGGCGGCCACTGGTCGATAGTGCTCGCGGGCCTCATTGATTTTCACTTCGGTCACCTTGGCCTCCTGGACCTGTTAGAAAAAGAAATGGGGGTCCATTGTTCAAGCCAACCAGGGCTTCCTGTGAATCAGCTTGTGTGAGTCACAGAGTCTGTGTGTGGGGTGGGACAGACTGCGATCGGGAGAGTGGCTGAGGGTTGGAAAGCTGCCATGGTGTTCCTTAATGGAGCTTAGAGTAAGCATCTTTCAGGTGGTGAGTGTCAGCCCTTCCGGCCAGGCAATGTGGGCCGTGCAAGCCTCGTGCGCCATTTCTTAAATATATGTCTAATATAAATAACAAAAACTTCTATAAAAAAGTCATAACCAGTGTGGAAGTAGTTGGTTGAACTAAAATGTAAAAACAGCAACAGAAGATGGGAGAGGATGATCAAAGTGTTCTAAAACCTTACATTACTTTTGGAGAGGCTAGCTATATTGCTCAATTTTAGTCTTTGTTAAATTAATATATCTATTGTCAAGTCATATAAATAATGAAATATTTTATATATAAATGAAACAAGGTTAATCAACTAAATAAAATAGAATGAGTAACTTTAAAATCTGCAAAGAATAAAAGAGGAGGATAAAGAAAAAGGAAGATAGGAAAAAAATAAACAAAAAGCCTGGTTAATAGAAAACACAGATTAAGATAGTAGAAATATTTAACTATATCTGCAACGTTAATAAATGTAAATAGGTTACATTCAGTAATAAAAAGACAAAAAATTCTCAGAAGGGTGTGGAAGTGAACAGAAATCACATAATTGATCATATCGGTGTTATCACAGATTCATACTCTTAAGCTCACCTGGGTCCTTAATGCTGCCCATTATTCTGTGTGTCTTTAGTCAACTTTCATTTTTTGCAACAACTATTGTAAACCTTCACTCTTCTCCCCAAGTCCTCTACCTCACCACCATTCCCTCTCTGAGCAGAGTACATGGGAGTTGCAAGAGGAGAAGTGCATATAGACAACTCTTTAAAGTAGCCAAACTATGAAATGGTAAAGAGAGAAAGGATTGTAACTTAAAGAGTACAGGAATCCTTCAAGACGTTCCCTTCTAGTCCATTAATGTTCTGTCCCTCTACCCCAGCGGCCCATAGTGACCCACGAACCATTTCTAGATTCACGTTTGCCCTGTATCCCCTATCACATTGGAACTAACTATCATTCTAAAGATAAGCTCTTGCACAGTGACAAATGAGTACTAGAACTGGTGGGGTGATCATAGTGTAAGGCATCAAATGTTGAGTCACTATATTATACACATGAAACTAATGTAAATAATGTAAGATTATATACCAATTACACTCAAATAAAAAGTAAAGCTTTTGTTGGTGACCCAAATTATATTTCTCTGACTTTCTTATGTACCCGACTATATTAGTTATTCCTTGCCATCCCCATTAATTCAACTCTTCTTGGCGACTGCTCCTTTTCCTTAAAATCCATGCATCCTCCCACCCCCAGCTAAGATCTTAGCATGCTCAGTCTCTCCCATGTCAGGGGGGAATGCCTTGAAGGATCCATCTACACTTTAAGTTATAACCCTTTCTCTCTTTACCATTTCATAGTTGGGCTACTTCAAAGAGTTGTCTATACTCCTCCTTTCTCAACTCCCATTTACTCTCATTCTAATGCAGGCTTCTGCTTCTACTGCCTCACTGAAACCATTCTCCCAAGTTCATTGATAACTCCTTTTTGCAAAATTCAGTGGGCACATCTCAGCCATTATTCAACACCATTGGACATCCCTTCCTCTTGAAATGCTTCTTTTCATGATACCTTATTACCTGCTTTTCCTTCCATCTCTCTGCTCCATTCTATCCTTCACATCTTTACTTTTCTCAAACTGTATCAGTATTTCTCAATGCTCTACTCCCAGTCTTATTGTATTACTGGTGTCCTGGGTTCTTGTGATCTCCCAGGATAGAAGTCAAAAGAGATCACCAGAAACCGATACAACCCTGGTGCATTGGCCAGGAACCAAACTCAGGTCTCCAACATGTCAGGCAAAAATCTTACCATGGAACCATCCTGAGTTCTTGGGAGCTCCCAAGATATCAAGAGAGTTCACCATAAGAACAGTACTCAGGGAAAAATGGTGTACTAAGGGAAACAACATTTAAAGGGAAAAGAGAAATGCTGCTCCCCGAACAAAAGCCAGGGAATAGTTTTAAAGAAGTTGGAGCTGGAAGGGTGATGTCTAACCGTGATGTCTAAGTATGGAGAGGCAGGACTCTGGTGCCTATGTGGTGGAACTACATGCTTCTTCATGCATCACATGTTTCATTAGCATGTTAATTCTTCACTCAGGGTTTTTTTTTTTTTTTTTTTTTTTTTTTTTAGCATTTAAATGAGGGAGGGTCACCAAAGGGCAGTCTTTCTTGCTAGTGCACATGTGTGAGTGAAGGGAACACAATTTAAGCTCACGGGAGTAAATCTTGCAGACAGAAGTGTCCTTCAGTCTAGCTGCTAATTGGCTGCAAGGAGAGGGTAAGCTATATGAGGAGATTAATGAGTTTTTGACTGGTACCTGCTGGGCTCCGGGAGTAGCTTGCCTATCTCATTTGCACACACATCTCTTAGGTGACTTTATTCACTTCTAAAATTTCAATGATCAACTACCTGCTGATGATTCTCAGCACTCTATCACCAGCCCAAGATCATATATCTCAAAAGCCATGGGACAATCCCATGTGAACGGCTCAAAGGCATTGCAAACTCAACACAACACAAACTGAAACCATCATTTCTTCTCATTCCCAAATCCACTTCTAATCTCTTTTTTTTTTCAGCTATAGACACCAGTACCTTTCTAGATGTTTATTCTTGGAACCTGAGTAATTTCCTTGACTACACCTTTATCTACATACAAAAAGGGGCAAAAGTAGGTTTACAGTTGAGAGTATGCAAAACAGTTTATTCTTGTATTATTTATTACTTATTATATTATTTCCCATATGAACAACTGTAAAGCTACTTATGTCTACCCGTGTATAATCATATCCAATGAATTGGCAAGTTTTTCAATTCTACCTCTGAATTTGCACATAGGTCTTGAATTTGCCCACTTCTTTGCACCACAACTGCCAACCTTAGCTCAGGATACCATCACCTCCAATCGGAATCACTGTGCCCTCCACTACTTTCTCTGCCTCCTCATTCCCAAGCTCTCCTCCAGACTGTACCTGGAGTGGTCTTTCTAAAACACAGTTCTGACTATGTTACTCTCTTGTCTAAAAAGGAAAACAAAAAATTTTTTTATGATCCCCAACTCTCATTCAAGCCCAAACTTCTTAGCATGGTCTACAAAGTCTATTGCAATGGAAACAGCCTACATTTCCTGCCTCATCTCCAGTGACTACTTCCATCTCCTCCACTGTCCCTCGAGTCCTTTACACGACAGAGAAACGTCCCTCTCCTCTGGTTGAGCTGAGTGCTTTCCCCGTGTGTTCACGGCCTCCCGTGCTTCCTCTCCCACAGCCCTTATCACCGCTCTGCAGTTGCCTGTTTGTCTTTCTCCTTCAGAGGACCAGGTCCCGGAAGCCCGGGATTCCGGCAAGTTCATTGTTGTACCCCCAACTTTTGTCATGGAATTTGGAATAGAACAGCCTCCAAGTAAGTATTTATTGGATGAATGGATGAGAAGAGAAAGAAGACAAACAAGAAATGAAACAGCAAGAGAAAAAAAGATTCTATAAACGCTTGGTGCACAGCAGGCACTCAATAAATGTTCGTTGACTTTAAAGAGGAGGATGAAGAAGGAATGAGCTCTAGCCAGTTTGGCTCAGTGTAGGCCTGTGAACTGAATGGTCGCGGGTTCAATTCCAGTCAAGGGCGCATGCCCAGGTTGCGGGCTTGATCCCCAGTAGGGGGCCAATCAATGATTCTCTCTCATCATTGATGTTTCTATTTCTCTCTCCCTTCTCCCTTCTTCTCTGAAATCAATAAAAATATATTAAAAAAAGAGTCATTCTTCCATCTCTCTGAAAATTAAGAAAAAGGAAAGAAAGAAAGAAAGAAGGAATGAGGCAGCAGGAAGAGATATTAACATGGTCAATTCCACCTCTGACCTACTCCCTCAAAGTGGGTTGGAAAGTGTCCTCTCATCTCTTCTTCCCAGGCAGTGGAACTTCTGCTGTAAGTACTGTGTACACTTTGCATGCCCCTCTCTACACTTACGGAGGCCATAGTAACCACGGGCAAAACCCGGTGGTCACACCAGAGTCCCAGAGACAAGTGAGGCTGGACCTTCCTCCCTTCAGCCTCTCACTCAAACCTCAGCTGTCTGTTATCCCAGGATGGCATGAGCTGGTTTGTCTGCCCTGCCTATGGTTGCTCTCCATCTTTGCTTTTTTTTTTTAAGATAAAAAAAATTGATTTTTAGAGAGAGAGGGAGAGGAAGAGAGAGAATGATTGATATGAGAGTGAAACATGTGACAGCTGCCTTCTGCACAGCCCCTATGAGGGCTCAAGCCCACATCCCAGGCACATACCCTGACCAGGAATTGAACCAACAACCTTTTGGAGCATGGGACTACACCCAACCAGCCACATGGGCCAGGGCATTCTTCATTTTTCCTACCTTGTTTCTACCTGGAACAGAGTCTTTATATTTGGAGAAATCCCAATAATCTGACAATAAGTGTATACCCTCAAAGGTGCATTGTTCCTGGACACTGTTACAGACACACTTAACCAACTCAGACCAATATCTTTTTTTTTTTTAATCCTCACCTGAGGATATTTTTTCATTGATTTTTAGAGAGAGTGGACAAGAGAAGGAAAGACAGAAATATCGATGTGAGAGAAACACATCGATTGGTTGCCTCCTGCATGTGCCCAGGGCCTGGGATGGGGAGAAGCCTGCCACCGAGGTACATGCCCTTGACCGGAATCGAACCCGGGACCCTTGGTCCACTGAGCCAAAATGGCTAGGGCTCAGACAAGAATCTTAAATACTCTTCTGATTCAAGAGCAGAGCTGAAAATGAGGGAAGAACTGTGTAGGTTCGTAGCCTGCTGGGAATGGGCGGGGGAGCTTGGCCCTCGGAAGTCATGTCTGCTAGTCCCCCACAAGGGAAAATAAAAGCTCCCAAATGTTGTGAAAGAAGGGGAGAAAGCTGTACCCTAAGTTGTTTGCAGGAAGGTACTGCTTTTGAGAGCTGAGCTTCCTGGGAAGCCAGTGACGTTCTCTCATTAAAGTCAGACATGTAAGATTTCTGCAGGCTGAGGTTTCCTCCAGGTGCAATCGTGCCTGAACCAGCCAACTCTTACAGCAGTGTGATCCCTTACCTTCGGGAAATTCTACAAGCTCACCGAGGAGTTAAGTTTGAGCTCCCAGGCCCTGCACAGACTACTGCACAGGCTTAACTGCTCATCACACATTTGTGGAGATGACTTGTCAAAAGCAATTCCCAGAAGGTGGGAACTCCACAATACAGAACGTGAGCCAGTCATTTCAGGAATCCTGTCGTTTGATTTTCTAGGAGAAACTTGGGAAGACAGGAAAGCCATCTGTTAGTCTGGCTTCTTTTACCTAAAAGTTGAATGCAGGGTCTGGGAGGGGGGCATTTGCTCCCCAGCTCAGGCTGCCAGGGTAGTTTCACCTTTTCCTCAACTTCCGCTGCGGTCTGCTTGGTGACCTCCAGGTTCTCCACCAAGGCCGTGTCTCCCAGGAAGTTCCCAGAGGCCGAGGAGAGGCGAGACAGCAGGCTGTCTTCCAGTGTTTTCAGGGTGATTTTGAAGCCATTCTGCTGTTTCGTGAGATCCAACTGCAAATATCAAGTGAAGGGGAGTCACATATAGAAGCCCAGAGCAGCCTACTCTCGGGATAGGTCTGAAAAAGTAAATGTTTATGGGGCCAGGGTCCCTTCTCTTAGAGATGCAAACTGAAGGCAAAATAGCAGAATGATCGAGACCATAAGCAGACGAGATGAGCAACTGAGCTGAATCCCAACTGCACCATTTCCTAGTCATGTGACCTTAGGCTAATGACCCCTGTAGACCTTTAGTAACCGGGGCTGGGTTAGTCCCAGTCCGTACACCTGGGAGTGCTGTGCAATGCTGCGCACAATGCCAACAGTCTGTTCACAAAACAGAACCTATTTTTGTGAATAGTTAGAAAGTAGGGTCAAGTGTTAGTTCCCCAGAGGGTCCTCTCTATCACCACTTTACTGCTCCCAGAGAATAGGTCTCCTATGGATATATATATATATATATATTTTTTTTTTTTGAAAAAAAGTCAACAGAAACTGTCTTACACAGTTTAGACAGGATCATTGCAGGAGCTTGCCTCAAGGCTGCTGGGGGTTGCTGATGTCCAAGCAGATCTCACCTCATCTTCCCTCTCGGATTGTTAGGTTCCTATCCTACAGCTCTGGACACTCTCTCTCAGGTGGGGCCATAACCTCAGGCAGCTGCGGCTTCTCTGCCCGTGCACAGCTGGGGTAATTGCTTTTGGATCCACGAAAGAACAATCTTCCTGTTGGAGGCTTGAGCCATGGCCACCCTGCTCAGCTTCTGCTTCTTACAAAACACATTCCCCAATCCCATTTTTCAACCAGGATTTGCTGTTCTCTGCAGGGAATGCTCTGTGCCAGGGTCTTTAAAATTAGTGAGGGCCCAGCCGGTGTGGTTCAGTGGTTGAACCAGGTGGTCACGGTTCAATTCCCCATCAGGGCACATGCCCAGGTTGCAGGTTTGATCCCCAGTGTGGGGTGTGCAGGAGGCAGCTGATCAATGATTCTCTCTCATCATTGAGGTTTCTCTCTCTCTCCCTCTCCCTTCCTCTCTGAAATCAATAAAAATATATTTTAAAAAACTAGGAATTAGCTCAGATGCAACCCCCTCATGGAACCTTTTTCTGACTTCTCCAGTTTAAATTAGTCCAGGGCTCTCTAAGATTCTCATCACCACCTGACATGGCATATACTTTTTGTTTACATTCTTATTTTCTGTGTCCCTCCACTAGACCGTAAGCCTGTGAGGGCAGGGACATGGTGTTGCTTTTGACCTGCTGAACCCGAGCGCCTGTGCTCTTGCCTGCTTCGGAGTTGGGCTCTGTGGGTGTGTGCTCAGTAAAGGCATGCTCGTAGGACGTGGACGCCGGGCGCCTCGGCGTCAATCTCACATACACTGTCATTTTGGACGTGCATTTATAGTCTAATCTGGCCTAGAGAGCGCAAAACAGGGATGTTACTTGCCGTGGACTGAATTGTGTCCTCAATAAATCATGTTGAAGCCCTTCCCCCCATATTGGAAATGGGCTTTTAAGGGGTTGAATAAGGTTCAATGAGGTCGATAGGGTGGGGCTCTGGTCTGATGGGAGTAGTGTCACCAGCGAGGTTCTCTCTCTGCACACAAGGAGGAGGCCTGGGAGTACACAGTGACATGGTGGCCATCTCCAAGCCAGGAAGGAAGGTCTCTCCGGACACCAAACACGCGGTCCCCTATCTTGGACTTACAGCTTCCAGGACTGTGAGAAAATAAATGTCTGTGTTTTATTATAGAAGCTTGAGCGAAGACACTATCCTACGGTGGATGAGCCGCCAGTTTTTAATGCCCTTGCAAAATTGAACCCTGCTTAGTTGTGACATAGGCATGAGAACATGTGTGACAGGAGGCCCTCATGGCTGGCCATGCAAGTTCATAGCCCCTCCAAGGCCCTGCGATGAATGTCTGTGTCTGCCTCAGTTTTTCAGCTCGCTCTAGCCCAGTGATGGTGAACCTTTTGAGCTCGGCGTGTCAGCATTTTGAAAAACCCTAACTTAATTCTGGTGCCGTGTCACATATAGAAATTTTTTGATCTTTGCAACCATAGTAAAACAAAGATTTATATTTTTGATATTTATTTTATATATTTAAATGCCATTTAACAAAGAAAAATCAACCAAAAAAAATGAGTTTGCGTGTCACCACTGACACGCGTGTCATAGGTTCGCCATCACTGCTCTAGCCTCTGTCTCCCCGGTGTTCCAGGTGGCTAGAGGTGTTGGCTCCTCAGTCTAGCAGAGCCCCGGCTGCTCAGCTCCAGAGAAAATAGCCCACATACTTCCCCCAGGGAGGGGCGCCCTGCGGGATCTAGTGACAGCGTGTTGTCTGCCTCCCTTTCTCGGCGGATCCTGGACGCACCTTCAGCTGCTCCAGGTCTGGCCTCTCCATGCTGACCACAGCGGCCAGCAGCTGGTCCTCCAGGCCATCCCTGGTCACAGTGAAGTTGATGAGGGTGGCCTGGGCCTGCAGCTCCGGCTGGTAGTGAGGATTGGCCAGCTTGGTGTGAAGTATGAGCCGGAACTTGGGATTGTATTCACACTCTTTGTCTCCGATTTTAATGAACCTGGAACAGAAAGGCTCAGGTAAAGGTGGCTGCCTTTCCGTGAGATTCAATCAGAGACAGAATTCTAGATTTGTTTGAAGATCATAGCAAATAATATTGCCATATTCAGGTGGATTCCCTCGCATGGCTAGTGTGAGTCCTGGGATCCCTGTTGCCCTAACGTGGGAAACAGGGGTGGAGGACTGATAGACTTTCCCCACAGCCACCATGTTTGATTCTGCATCATGCAAAACTGTGGGGAGAGCCAGTGACACATTACGGAACATCTCCAGCAGATGGCAGTAAAGTGTTTGCAGGAAGGGGCACCTTTTTAGTTTGCACAAAGGTACCTAACAGGCTGGCAATAGGGCTTACTTATGTCTATGGCTGACGGAGAATGACGTCCATGGATAAAAATGGTTAATTAACTTAACAAGCACATCCCGAGGACATGTAAAGGCGACTTTCGTCTTGGACACTGGGTGAGGCTTCATGATAATCACCCTTCCCTCTCCTAGGAGCCTGCTGCCCTTCTCTTTCCTCCTGCTTCTGCCACACGCTAATTAGCTATCAGCACCCAGAGCAACCCGGGCTCATCACAGTGACAAAGAGGTGAGTTCTCAGAACTTGGAGGCCTGACTTGGGTAATATGCTCAAGCTTAAAGTCAGCCTGCTTTTTGGCCACTTTTCTTCTCAAGTTCCTTCAAAATAGTGTACTTTGGCTATTTAGAAGGAAGCCAAGGAGGACATTGATGGATGGAAGCAAAGTTACTCTAGAAACTTTCTCTAGGATGTGAGGCAGCTGATCACTCCTCTGCTGGAGGAAAGAGGAGTGTGCATGCTGTGGGAGACACTCCACACAAGCTGGGGAGAGCGTGTCCTAAGGAGAGCAGAGCTGCCCACACTCCTACCCGGCTGTGAGCCAGCTCTCAAAGGATGGGCAACACAGCTGAGTCTCACCGTCCTTTTTTAATGACTTCTCTCCCGAGCAGTGGTCCCAGAACAGGATCAATGGACTCCTCCAGGTTTTCAATCAGCACCACGTCTCCGGCTTCCAGGGCTTGCTCTATGGTTTGGAGGTAGCTGGGGAGAAAGTCAGTAGTAGAATGAGCCTGTGGCCAGGTACAGATTCAGAGGAAATTTAACAAGACAGGGGAGGCTCTGAAGCTCAGGGGTGAACTTGGAAGCAACCTACCTGGGATGACTTCTGTGGCCACGTTTTTTTTCTTATATAGTTTTAGAAATAGGTGAAAATTTCAAAATAAAAATGTGAAAATTAACTATAACCTTTCCATCTTTCATTTAAATTTGGTGTTACTACATGTTTTGATATCATATATTTTCAAGTTTATTATCACTATTTCTATTTATTTTATATTAAATATATAATTACTT